TATGTCTGCTGTCCTGTTGATACCATAGTGTTTTAATTACTGTAGCTCTGTATTAAGTTTTGAAATCAGAAAGTAGAAGTTTTTCAACTTTTAAAATACTGTTTTGTCTACTTGGGGCTCCTCACATTTCCATATGAAATTAAGGATTGGCATTTCCATTCCTGCAAGAAGATTATTGGAAATCTGATAGGGATGCATTGAATCTGTAGGCTACTTTGGAGAATACTAGTATGTTAACAATACTGAATCTTTCAATCCTTTAACATGGAACGTCTTTCCATTTAATCAGTCTTCTTTAATTTTTTTTTCAGCAATGTTTTATAGTTTTATGTATACAAGTCTTTCACCTTGTTGGATAAATGTATTCCTAAATATTTTATATTTGTGCATACTATCATTAAAAAGGATTTTTTCCTTTTTAAATTGCTCATTTCCAGCTCATTGAAACACAACAAATTTTTCTGTGTTAAGTATGTATCCCACAACTTGTTCAGACGTTGTTCTCCTGATATCAGTTAGTTCTTTATCCATGGGTTCTTTCTGCTCTTTGAAAATATTAATGCCGCTAATTTGAAGTCTTTGCCTGGTATGTCCAATATTTGAGATTCCTCATGTTTCCTCTCATTTTTTCTTCCCTGTGAGTCGTGCATTTCTGATTCCTTTTATGCTTTGTTCTTTTCGGTTGAAAACTGGACATTTTGAACATTGTGATGGGGTAACTCTCAGAGTCAGATTATCTTCCTTTTCCAGAAGTTGCTGATGCTGCTTGTTGAGAAGTGCAGTCATCCGCTTGTTTAGTAACTTTTCCAAACTGAGTTGCAAAGACTGTATCTCTTGTCCTGTATGGCACTGATATCTCTGTTCTGTTACCTCAACAGTCAGCCAATGGCCTGACAGAGACTTTCTTGGGTATTTTAACCCAACAAAGAAAGAGTAAAAAAGGTGTTCTGTTCTTTTAAATCTCCCCTGACAGATACTGCCTGGAAGGCCATTCCAGTTCAAGGGGGCTGAAACAATGGCAAAATCCTGCATTAGTCCTTCAGCGATCCACCAGGCAAATCGAAACATACGACCCTTAAAAAAAAAAATAGAACCCTGATCTTTGAAGCACACGGTTCTTATCTCCAACCTGAAAATGGCAGGTCACACCAGGAACATGGACTGTCATTCACACAGATACCAGTTACGCCAGGGAACAAGAGATGGCAACTGCTCCATGAAAAGCTAACATTGAAAAAAAATGTACCAGCCTCTCACTTCTTCAAGCACTCCCCTGGACACTTCAAGTGTTTGACCAGGCTCTAGACTTTAAAAATAGTTAATTCTGACAATTAACTCTTTCTCGATAGTTGTTTGTTTTTGGGTTTTTTTTTTCTCCAGTGGAGGGACTGATTTTTGGAGCTTCCTACTTTGTCACCTACACAAAGACATCCCTCTAGATTGTCTTTTACACCTTTACTGCTGTTCCTTGTTTTTTGGTATGGATTCAAATTATTGTCTGTTGCCACTTGGTTTTCAGCCTACAAAAATTTTTGCAGCGTTTCTTGTAAGGCTGGTCTTCTAGCAACAAATTCCTTCAGATTTTATCTAGGGAATTATTTATTTCGTGTTTTATTTTAAAAGATAATTTGGTCAATTCTTTGTTGACAGTTTTTTTTTTCCCCTTCAGCATTTTAAATATGTCATTTAATTGCCTTCTGGCCTCTACTGTTTGTGATCAAAAGTCAGCCATGTATCTCATTAGAGTTTCTTTGTGATGAGTGATCTGCTTTTACTACTTTCAAGACATCCTCTTTCTCTTTGACTTACAAATATTTAATTATATGTCTGAATATGGTCTATTTGTATTTATTCCACTTGGAATTTGTTGAGTTTCTTGCCTACGTAAATTTTTTTCATCAAATGTGGGATGTTTTCAGTCATTTTTTGAATGTTTTTCTACCTTCTCTCTCTGCTTTTCTTCTGGTACTTCTATTACTTGTATGTTGACATACTTTTAATTGTGTCCCACATTCCTCTGATGCTGTGTTCATTTCATTATTTTTTCTTTTTTGATGTTGGGTAATCTCTATTATGTTCAGATTTGCAGATCCTTTCTTCTTCCAGCTAAAATCTACTTCTGAGCCCATCTAGTGTTTTTTAAATTTTGTTATACTTAACTCCAGAATTTCTACTTTGCTCTTTAAAAAAAATAAGTTTTGTCTCTTTATTGATATTTTTTATTGGGAAAAACATTGTTCTTACACCTTCCTTTAATTCTTTAAACATGTTCTCCTTTAGTTCTTTGAACATATTTATAGCAGCTGTGTTGAAGTCTTTGTTAATTTCAACATCTAAGTTTCTTTAAACGGTTACTATTGACTGCTTTTTTTTCTTTTAATGAATCACGCTTTTCTCCTTCATTAAATGTTTTATAAATTTTTGTTGAAAACTGAACATATTAGATAATATACTGTAGCAACTCTAGATATTGATTCCAGCTCCTGTCCACCCACCGGCCCTCTGCACCTAAGGGGTTGATACTGCTACGGTTTGCCATGTCATTGATTTGTGTGTTTAATGACTTAGTTAACTAACCCTGTAAAGTATTTTTCCTCTAGAGTGCAGCTGCAGCCTCTGATGTTCTTCCTCATATTATTCACTTTTTTTTTTAAACTTTCTGCTGAATGATATAGGATCATTCATGAATTGGCATGTAAGCCACTTATTGATCAAAAGTTATCACCTTGGCAATTAAATTTTTACTCTTTACCACTGGTTGTATAAGTAGCTTGGAGGCTGCTTTAACAGATGAAGAAGTTTACACTTTTTCTCCCTGCTTACCTTAATTGCTAGGTGGCTAGCTGGAGGGAGCACCAGTCCTCTAAACAGAGCTCCTGCAACATGAGGCTTGTGGGGGAGGATGGAAAATGTTGGCCGTCCACTCCTTCCCAGATGATTCCATAAGATGGACCTGTTTACTCAAGAACTAGTAGCTTTGTTTCTCCTCCCTCTATTTACTCCTAGGAGGGTTCAGCTTTGGGCATACACACAATCTTCCAGATTGTTAGGAACACGTGTGATTTTAAGTGTAGCTTCTTAGAAGTTGCTCCTGGGTTAGAGTAGGTTACTATTCAGCCAGTATTGAGTTGGAGTTTATCCTTAAGCCCTAGCACCAGTGCCAGCTTGCATTGTTTTGTGATGGATCTGTGTGCAGCATGGGAAACGTTTCAGATTTGCTTCATTTCCTGCTCTGATGCTCTGGAGTAGGTGAAACCAATCACTCATATACAGCCTTTTCAACCCTTAAGGCTTGCTGTGCTCCCAGGAGGACTCTTCTTGGTTGTCTCTTCCCATGATTCAGTCTATTAAACCTCTAATTGCTCTGCTCTTTTGCTTGTACTATGGAGCTATGAGCACTCTCTTAATTGTTCTCTGCCAAGATTTCCCTTGTTTTTGACACTCTAGACATGGAATTTTCTACGCTCTGCTCCAAATAAGTCAATCCTCTCAGGCAGAGCTACAGAAACCTGCTTTTCCCCTGGGATAAAGCTCTATGCCACTGCCCAAGAGCTCCGGGCGGGAAGAGAAGCCTACTCCTAAAGTGACAAACCTATTCTATGAGTAGGCATTAGGGAATGGTAGTGGTGCATGGTTTTCTTAGCTTGACCCTTCTAATATGGGACTCCTGCCCTATCAGCAAGCTGGTCAAGAATGATTGGAGTACAAAATTCTTGGCCTGCCATGTCTGATCTATAACTTCTATCCTCAAAACGGGGGCTAGGTGGAGGAAGCACCAGTCCTCTCTGAATAGAGCTTCTGAATAGGGCTTGCGGGGGAGGATGGAAAATGTTGGCAGTCCACTTCTTCCTAGAGAATTATATAAGCTGGATCTGACAAAGAAGTGTCACGTCTCGAATGTCACAGGCTATCACTGTTCTTATTGAGATTTAGTAAAAATACTCAAGTGACTATTTCTCCATTTATTGTATGACCCTAGGACAATTTCCAGAAGCTTTAAATGATTTTTTAAATCTAAATTTTTCTTTAATTAAATGGTTGCTTTACTGGGGAGAAAATCTGCAGGTCTTCTCCTTCCATGCCAGAAGCTGGTCTTTGTCCTATCTTTTAAATGTCATCTATGAGCTCATCATGCCCATGTGCCTGTCTCTAACCTAGCCTTTCACCTGGACACAAGACTTTCATATGTAGCAGACTACTTGTCATCAAGTAATTTTGGTTTTTCTTCCTCAAAAATGTTCTCTTAGGCCTTCTTTATTTCAGTAAATGAAATCACTGTCTACCCAGTTAATCAATTCAGAAACCTGAGGATCAGCCTCAATGCCTCCCTCTTGTCAACCTCATTTAATCCATCAGAAAGTTTTATTGGGTCTGTCTCTCAAATATATCTAGAAACTGCTCATTTCTCTCCAGTTCCATGACTTACTAACTCTGAATTCTTCCCCTTCACTTGATCTATTAAAATAGCCTTCTAATGGCCTTTCTGCTTTCACTCTCCCTGCCCCTCTAATCTTTGCCTCATACAACCCCCCGAGTGATCACTGTATGTATATTTCCCCTGTGCAGATGCTTTAGCCCTGGCTTCAGCCCTGTAGGAGCTGGCTCCTCTTTACCACTCCTTCCAGTCTCATCTGAAGCCCCTCCCTTGACCTCTGTATTGTAGTCACATGGTCTTCTTTGCTACCTTGCTTTCCTTTGCCTAGGACTCTCTCTCCTCCACCCTTTGCATGGCTGCCATTTCTCCTCTTCTTCTCATTTTAGCTTAAATGTCACCTCCTCTAAGATGTTTTCTAGGTGGCTTTTCCTCTGTTGTTTCAGCCCATTCATTTCCTTTACATTTCTTGTCACGGTTTGTCATTATTAATTTGTTTAATGATTGATTCTCTGTTGCTCCTACTAGATGGCAAACTCCAGGACAGCAAGAACTGAATAGTTGTTTTGTTAAGAACTCTGAAATAAACATTTACACATAGTAAGAGCTCCCACTTACCAAGCCCTGAGTATGTGCCAGAAACGTTCTAAAATACGTATGAATATATATGTATATGCATGCACATATTTACGCAAGATATGCATACACATATACACGTATATACATTTATATACACAGACATGTGAACATACATGTAAAAACACACATTTAATCTTCACAGCAACCCTATGAGGTGGATAATTTTATTATCTTCATTTTATAGCTGATTAAATTAGAGCACAGGGAAAATGGGTGACCTGGCCCAGTGTCACACCGTGAGTGAACGGCTAAACCAGGTTGCTCCAGGGTCTATGCTTTGAAGCATTTCAGCCATTCCTCAGTACAGTGACAGGAACAAAATAGGTGCTCAGTTAGTATCTGTAGAATAAATAAACCATGGTTGAAATGAAATGGAGATGTTATCATCCCTAAGAGCAGTGCTGTTCAGCAGAACTTTCTGAGTTGATGGAAATGTTCTACATCTGTGCTGTCCAATACAGCAGTCACAAGACACATATGGCTACTGAGCACTTGAGCTGTGGCTAGTATGACTCAACTGAATTTTTGTTTTAATTTTAATTCATTTAAATTTAAATTGCCACATTGTGGCTACTGACAATTGTAGTAGACAATGCAGTCTAAGGTTTTCGAGATGGTATTACTTTTGATGCCTTGGGGTTGACCAACAGTCTTGATAAATTGAACGCCAAAGACGAATCACAGAATTCTCCACCACATTTCTTCCCTAGTGTCCTCCGCCTCATATTCTTCAAACCTCCTTTATCCTCCCACTTTATTTCATTCCAGTCTGAAGAACCAAGCCTCCTTTCTCACATGTGATTCCAAAGCCATTTTCCCCACTCTTTCAGCAGTGCCCTGAACGGTCCCTCCAGAAGCACTGAAGTAGTTAACAAATATCTAGTGTCTACTTGGGATGGAACACTGGCTCCGGTCCTGGGGAGAAGCAGATGGGGACACAAAGACAAGTAAGACAAGGTCCCTGTCTAATGGTGAGTGAGGGAGTTAGACTTACACACTAACTCATAGTAGGGGTTTGGGAAAAGGATGGTGTTGAGGGAGGGCTGAGTGTCCAGGTCTGTAGCCTCAGAGTTCAAAACTGCGGTCCTGGAATGCCCACTTTGCAGGAATTGCTGTAACATGGCACAAGTTTTACTCACACTTGGACCAAAAGAATAAATGAAGTCATGGCTTACTTTAAAAACTGAGCTTATGAAAACATGAGACAGTCTTACTGACATTTAGAAAGAAACAGCCGGCCTGGATAGAGGGAACTTTTACTTCAATGGCCACAATACCTTTTACAGAAAAATAATCAAAGAAACAGTAAATAAAAATCAGACAGATTCAAATATCTAAAAACAAGAAAAAAAGTAGTGCACGTTAATCCTCCAATTCAAGGGCAATTACTATTCATATTCTCAGGCATATGCAATAATTGGGGTAGTGAAAATGCATTTCTTTCCTCCCACTATTTGCATACTTGGAATCTCACTTACATTGCATGTAGGTTAGAACAAAAGATGCTGCTTTGTTTGGATTTTGCTTTTGCTGTGGAATCCATTAGAAAGCAGTGTGCTTTGTATGTCAAAGAGCAGAAAGGCCCCACTTCCTCTCTTCAAAACATTTTTAGCAGAAGTCAACGACTGTATTTATTTCATACAGTTCTTCATTTGATTACTCAATGTGTGCGAGCCACAGAAGAGCAGGATTTTTCTTTTTTTTTTTTTTAAACCACAAAGGACTTTCTGTCTTAGGATGAGTCTTACAGCATCATACCTTTGAAAGTAAAATTTTTAGGCAGTTATTTAAATGTCATTCTAGAAATAAGAAGCATTTAGACACATAGAAACACCCAGCTGATGTCTAAGTCCTTCATTTTCCACACAGATAGATTATTAGCACACAGGTAGGGTGACTGTGTCTTTGATTTCCCCAAACTTCCTCAAGTTTACTCTATCCAATAAAAGTAGCTCCTTATGTGCAAAATCAAATGAGATTTCATTCTGATGCCTCTCTAAGACTTTTCTTTTCAATTACAAGTTAGAAAGAAAAAGAAAACCTAAATAGCAAATAACTAGATCAACTGTTCCAGTCTACTCTAGACTGATGAAAAGAGCTCCTAAGATATTAACTCTGTGCTTTTGTGTTAACGCTGCAGTTTTCCAAAGTGTGTTCCTAAGAACACTAGCTCCATGGGTTGTAACATAAAGCATTCCATGGTGAATCCCCTAAGCCCATTTGGCTGTGTAAAACAGTTGGGTTGTTTTCATAAATATTTTCAGCCTTCCAATGTAACCTCCACCTCTCAGTCCTCCTGCCAGATAAGAAGTCATAATGCAAGCATGTCTTGGATCAAAATTCTAGCACATGCACATATATTTAATAGCCATTAAGCACAATACAACAGTAATGCAGAGATGTTCTTCTAAGTTCAGGGAAGTCCCCCAATGTCTGTAGGATCTTGCATAAGCCCCTGAAGAAAATGTTCACTCAGCCTGAAACTGAGACCATGACTCTCTGGTGGCTGGACCATGGCAAGTGATAGAGTCTTCCATGAAGTGGGAGTGCAGGACTTTGAATAAAAAGATTAGGCTTTTCTGATTTACATACTTTGTTTGTAAAAGGGGCGGGGGCTATGCAATTATTCTAGCCTACAACATAATTAACCATCATCTATTTTCACAATAAAAAAATTATAATTTTCCTTGTGCAAATTAACAAAATCTATGGTCTCGATTATAATGGTGACATTCAACATGTCTGAGTAACTACCTCTGCAGTTAGATCCTTGCTAAGGGTGCTTCAAATGCTTTCTAAATTTACCTGCTGTGTAGGCTAATGGTAGTTGATGCCTGCATGTGTCCATATACAAAATGCTACCCTGTTTATGTTAAATGTTAATTAAATTTAATAACCATATTGATTCTATAACACAGTCTTAGGTAAGTTTGAAAATCCTCTTGGGAATTCAGATAACTCATAAACATGCCTAAGGCTCTGACAAGTCGTGCAAAAAGAAAAAGCACCTTGACTAAATCCAAAGGATTTCAACTTATTTGGCCTTGGAAACCTCAGGACACATGTGTCTGAGGAAAATAAGGATTCTGTATTAAGACAGCAACCTACTAATCTAAACAATATTTCCAAAGTCAAGACAACCCTTACATAAGAATAAATGAACATTGCAATTTATAAATCATTCTCTTGTGAATTCAATATTTGAGAATCTGTTGCTGTCTAACATGGTACATGAATTTTTGGGTCAGCAAAATAAGGTCACAGCAAACCTTCCTTAAGGGTGCAGTATAGTGTCTATTAGGCATATACTATGATAAAAAAGCCTCTATCATTTATTATTCTCAATAATATATAGTGGAGATATTTCTATCATCCTTTTAAAAGAGAGGAAACGGAATCCTTTTTAAGAGACAAGGTCTTGGCTGTCACCCAGGCTGAGTGCAGTGGCATAATCATAGCTCACTGCAGCATCAACCTGGGTTCAAGTGATTCTCCCACCTCTGCCTCCTGAGTAGCTAAGAACTACAGGTGTGCAACACCACACCCAGCTAATTTGTATATTTTTTTGTAGACCTGGGATCTCACTTTGTTGCCTAAGCTGGTCTGCAACTCCTGGCCTCAAGGCCTGTCTTGCTTTCTCAGTGCTGGGATTACCCTGTACCCAGCCAGGAAATTAAATTTTTGAAAGACTAAACAAGTTTCTAAAATCATTGCCCAATTAAGTAACAGAATTAAAATTAGAATAGAGAGTGGGCCTGTTTGAAAGCATCAACTATTAAGCACCATGCCATACTTTTGAGGAGCCCACCCCTTCACTTGCAACCAAGCACTTGAGTTTGTCACTCCTGCAAGTCAAGACTTCACCTATGAACCAGCTGCCCTCTGACAGCCCAGCTTCATGGATATGCAGTCTCTATACTTGCACAGGGTCCCATCTTTGGTTTAGTACTTTGCTTTTGTCATCTTTAAATACCCAGTAATTTTTGAACAAGAGCTCCCAAGGCGTTATTTTGCACTGAGCTTCATGAATTACAAAGTTGGTGGGATTTCCAGCGAGCTAGCTGCCTAGGAACAGCTCCGGTGCATAGCTGCCAGCGAGAGCAATGCAGAAGGTGGGTGATACCACCTTTCCAACTCAGGTAACTGGTTCATCTCATGGGGACTTGTTAGGCAGTGGTGTAGCCCAAGGAAGGTGAGTTGAAGCAGGGTGGGGCGTTGTGTCACCTGGAAGTGCAAGGGGCCAGGAAACTCCCTCTCCTAGCCAAGGGAAGCCATTAGGGACTTCTGCAGCACTCTGGCACAAATTACAAAGTCAGTGCTATCCACAGTACCTAAGCTATAATTAACACAAAGCTCTAAAAGCTGCATAGAGTTTAGCTGAAATTGCTGCCCAGTCTGAAGGAAAGTTCTAGAAGCTAATTTTGAAGATGTTCAGTCCTAGGTTATGAAAAAAGGTTCTGCTCTTTTACAACTCTAGCAAAAACAGCTAAACCCCCAATATTCAGTCTGTTAATGTCCCCAGTGAGAGTCTTCAAAACTCATGAGCAACAATGCAAGAATTTCCCAGCCTCTAACATGTGACCCACTTCTATGTTATTATCTCTAATAAACTGACAAATGTTTTGGTTGTCACAGAACTTATAATTATATGGTTAAAGATGCTTCAGATATACCACATTCTTTCACACTGTGGCAAAAACTACTGGTTAAATAACCCAGCCATATCTATTTTCCTTGTCACCCTGCACAAGAGAGACTGGAAAAAAGCTGGACACTTGCTCCTTTCCCATCTTCCTTTGCAGGTAAGCATCACTGTGTGACTCAGTTCTGGCCAATTATATAGGAAGAAAGTCTCGGATGAAGAAAGTCTTTTCTTTGTTAATGAAAAGGAGAATGCCTCTACAAGAAAAGATCTTTTTCAATACCACTCTGCTGCCCTCTTCGTACCTTGATGTTGTTTGGAGCTACAGCACCCATTCCAAGATAATGAGGTAAAACACATCACTATGAAAAAACAATGATTACATTTAAGGTAGACAAGAGACATGAAGGGTCTCTTCGAGGAGAACCTCAAACCACTGCTCAAGGAAATAAGAGAGGACACAAACAGATGGAAAAACATTCCATGATCATGGTTAGGAAGAATCAATACCATGAAAATGGCCATACTCCCCAAAGTAACTTATAGATTTGATGCTTTTTCCATCTTCACAGAACTAGAAAAAACAACCTCAAACTTCATATGGAAACAAAAAACAGTCCACATAGCCAAGACAATTATAAGCAAAAAAAAAAAAAAAGAAACAAAGCTGAAGGCATCATGCTACCTGACTTCAAACTATACTGTAAGGCTATAGTAATCAAAACAGCATGGTACTGGTACCAAAAGAGAGATATAGACTAATGGAACAGAACAGAGGTGTTGGAAGTAACACCACACATCTACAACCATCTGATCCTTGACAAACTTAACAAAAACAAGAAATAGGGAAAGGATTGTTTAATAAATGGTGTTGGGAAAACTGGTTCCCCATATGCAGAAAGGTGAAACTGGACCCCTTCCTTACACCTTATACAAAAATTAACTCCAGATAGATTAAATATTTAAACATAAGATTCAACACCATAAAAACCCTAGAAGAAAACCTAGGCAATGCCATTCAGGACACAGGCATAGGCAGGGACTTCATGACTAGAGTAGACAGATAAGAAGGACCTGGTGATACTGTGGAGCAACTGAATCAATGCTGTCGACTGCCTAGTTAACCCATTATTTGTTTAAATCTCTGATAGACTATATTTTTTAAATTTTGCCACCAGAGTTATTCTTAATCTAAGCACATAACTTTGAAAACTATGATCCTTTTGACAAGATAACATGCCTTCCATTACCTGCTGTAGGTGACCCAGATTGCTGGCTGTTGTGGGTAGCTCAGAATAGGCCTCTAAGGCACCTTGGCCCTCCCTCTGCTTCAAAACTCAGCACCAAAGTGTATGCATTCTTGTGGTACTGCCTGTGTCTTAACATGCATCCCAACACCTGGCACAGAGCCTGGCACTGGTAACCTCTTAGGAAATTTGTTAAGTGAACTGATACTATAGCATTGTGTCACTTTTCTCACTGACAAAAGTCTCACTCTTAGCAAAATTTTTCGTTTTGCAACTGAATTTAAAAATGAAATACCTACCACCTACCACTTAAAGTTTTGCCAGGTGACGACTTTCAGAAAAAAAAGAAAAGGAAAAATACTCTTGCATGATGATTGAGTGGAAAGTCGACTAGGTTCTACAAGGCATCATTGGTCCTTGCCAGTGGCCAGTAGGATATGGTTGGTGTGGTGGGGTGTGGAGTGGAACAGAAGTCAAAAACAAGGGCTATGGTGCCAAAATACTTGGGTTTAACTCCCAACTCTGCCACTTACTTACTGGGTACCTTCAGCAAGTTCTCTCTCCTCTCTGAGCCTTGGTTTCCTTATTCTAAAATGGAGAGGGTATCTGAGAAAAGTTGTAGGAGGATTAAATACATGAGAGAATAAAAACCTGTAAAGTGCTTAACACAGGCATGATACTTAATAAGTATTCAATAGGTTTTAGTTATTGCTTTTCATCTCAAGTGCTACCTGGGACTTCTCAAAAATTTTCAGACCACTGAACACATCTAATATCTAGCTTAGAGAAGGCATACAATAAGTATTTTACAAAAATCTAAAGTAAAAAAAAAAGTAGGTAATCATCGATCATCTCTACATAAAGATGAT